GGTTACTTTGAGCTTGTATGGTACCTACATTTTTTCCTTCTCTCTTACAGCTTGCTCTGTGTTAAAATAAATGCAAGACTGGTTTGGGAAAGAATAAGGAACATTAACACATAGTTTTGTGTAAAAGATGTTAGCTACTGGTTTGTATGTGGAATAGGTGCAGAATGCATCCAAGTGCTTCACACAGCAGGAAGAACCTGCTGCTTCCTGGAAAGCAGCATTTGTGAGGAGGACGGTGAGGAAGGAGCCTTGGTGGAAAAGGGAGAGCAGCCTGCAGGGGTGGCTTGCTCTGTGCACACTGGGATAGTGCAGGTTTCTATCTCTTAACTGGAGCTCCTAAGCTGCACTGGGAGGAACTCAGTGTCTTTGGGATGCTGTGTGAGGAATGTGGGGCAGGGAGCTGCTCAGCAGGCCAGCTGGATAGGAGGTAGGTAGTACTCTAGGTGTTTTTCCCCCAGATAACTTGCGTGGCAAGTCTGTTCTGCTGTAAAGGTCCACCTGTGTGTGTGGGATAATGGAAATGACTGGAGCAGTGAGTTGGAACTACCAGAGTGCTGTTGTTGGTAGCCATATATGCCTATATGTGCATAAGGAAGACCTCTCTTTCCATGAAGTGGTCCAAATGTGTTGATTTCTGCCACTCTCTCTGAAACATACATCTTGTATAATGAAGGTGAGTTTCATACACTGTTTTTATGGAAAATATTTAAATTTGAATAGGCATGACTTTCATAGTGCTTAAATATCTTGCTAATGTAGGCAAGTATTCCTAACTCTTTGAACTCTTCATGTGCTTGCGTTCTGTGCAGTTATCTCTACGGTGGGAGCTCCTTGCTATCTCCTGAGTGGCATTATTTTTAGTGTTGCAGTTCTGGGGAGGTGCTTTTGCCTTTGCATTAGGCTGGAGGAGAGAGCAAGGTTGAATTCAGTGGCTGTTTGTGAAGGGAGTTAGGCTGGTCACCAGTTCAGATAAATGTAGCCTTATGTTAATGGAGTTGAGGGATTGTTTTTAATATTTAATCTGAAGATTAGCATTGATAAGCATGCTTAACACAGATCATGGTCAGGGATTTGTGCTTTTAGAGCTCCCTTGCTTCCAGGAGTAGCTGCTTAGTTAGTTTTGCTTGCAGAATCCAACTATTGTGGGGAAATCTTCTACAGAAGAGCTAAGAAACTTGGCTAAAGTTTCCGTAGAATACAAATTGGTGGAGTAATTCTTGATATTTTAGTATATTTTTATTTGCTAATTTGTTTTTATGTTCAAAACTTGCCCTGGTAAATTATTGTCATAGCTTTAAAGTAATGATACTTGCTTCCCAGGCTCTAGCTTTACTGGAGCTGTCCGAGTTGCTGCTCTGGGAACTCATCCCGCCTTTCTGCAGGTGTTGGTTCTTGATCACAGGTCCTTTTTCCTTTTTTTAGATATAGGACTGAGGAACCAAGCTGGCTGAAATCCTAACTTCCCCACTCCTTGTGGGTGTCTTTGCAGCTGGATGTATCTCCTATTCTAGTTCACCATGTGGCTGTTGCATAAACTTCTATACTGCAGCAAGGGAGAGCACCCTTGAGAGTTGGAATGACTTGGTTTGAAAATATAGCCTTAGGTTGATGGATGTTGTGTGCAAGCTCTGTTGACAAACATGAAAATCTTGTTTCTTCTTAGAATTGACAGTGATTCTTGGTTCTGGTAAGAGTTGCATAAGTAGCTTACAAAACACTTTACTACCTTTCTGTTTTTTTGAAGATGACTTTGCCTGCAGTTGGTTCTTAGCTGTCTAGAACTCCCTGAAAGAGTGCAGAAAGAGGGGAAAAAGTATGGATTAGTGAAAACAGAAATTTAAGATTGGTCTCCTGTTCACAGAATTTGTGCCATTTTGTGTTAATGATTGCCATTTTCAGCCTTGGAGATCAAACACCTGGAAATTTCTGTTTCCTTATGTATGTTGAGTGTGTACTCTAGTTGTAGATACCCAGAAACAAGGGTGTCAAGTTAGGCTGAAATGAAAAAGCTTTGAAAAGGGCTGCCATGTAATCAGAATATTGCAGTTATTAAAGCTTTGTAGTGTTTAAAATTGCTTGCATGGTTCTGGTTAATGAGAAACATCCTGCAATATGAAGGAGCTATTTCAGTGGTTTCTTAAGGTATTGAGTTAGGTGTGAAAGCATGGGGGCAGAAGTTATAGTAGGAACTCTAGCAGAAGGAAAAATGTGCTAGAATATACCTTCCTTCTAGTATTAACCTTATTAAAGTAATATTATTGGGTGCTTTCTCTCCCTGAAATTGGTACTCTGCATTCCAATGCAGATGCTTTTCTGCTGGAGAAGCTATTTACAAGGTAACCTGTAGAGCAGGAAAACTGCCCTTCATGAGGGGCAAAACTTTAAAACATATATGCTGAGCCACTGGTAAATAACATGAACTATTTCTTTTATTTGTTGTGTAGCATGGTGTTAAACCACTGGAAGAGATTTTCCTATTGTCTCCTGTCTCAGCTGGGAGAATATCTCCTTGGATGTTAAGTGAGCTTGGGTTAAGGCTCCTGTGATCTGTGGCCGCTCCTGTGTGCAGATGGGCTTGAAAGGTTTGCTGGGAAGCTGCATGCAAAAGTGAAGTGACAAATATCAGCAGTTGTGTCTGACCTTTTTTTTTCCTAAAGGCTGAGTGCTTGTCAAAATATGGGGAACTGACCTAAGCTTTTTTGCCCTGTGGAAGAGATTAAGCCCACCTAATTCTTCACTGAGGGATACTGTAAGCACTACACTGCAGTTTTGAACATAGGCTTTGGGGAAGGTTCTGTCTCCATCCCTTCTGTACTCAACACTGTTTTGTTTGGAGTGTGTGTACTATTTCACATACTATTTAAGTTTCCAAAGCAAGGCAGAATGATGAGCTACTAGTCCAATAAAAAGCGTAGGTGACTATAGTATCTGGCACTGTTTTGTGTAATAGCAGCAGAGATCTATAGGAGTTGAGGGATTTGCATTTCATGTGGTTCACATAAACCTGGGAGAGAGCCTGCCTTCCAGGGACACAATGCATTAGGTGACTGATCAGTTATCAAGGTATCTTGGAATTATGCAAGTATCAGTTGCATTAAGTGACTGGTAATTCCTGTTCTGGGCTCTGTTCTGTTTTTTTCTAATGCATTGTGTAGCTTGGGGCTGCATGGTTTTGGGAAGCAGCCAAATGAAAATTCTAAAGTGAGGGTTAGGTTGGCTTGGTTGAGTTTGTGTTTTGGGAGTTGTTTCTGCAGTTTGGTGTATTTTTAATGTACCCAGCTACAGACAGAGCTTGCGAGCCCTGGGAGGTGGTAGCTGAGCAGCAATTCTACATGGCAGTTTTGCAGGGTTCTCTTGTGACATTAACCTTAAATGCCTTAAAATTGTTTGCTTTTAAATGTTCAAATATCTATAGTGCTAAGAATGGATTTATAAGGAGATTTGACAGATTATATCTTAAGTAAGCTCTTAAACCTTAGTGTGTTAGAGTTTCTCTAAGGAAAACCTACTATAATTGTGAATTAGAGAAATTTCGTATCTGAGCAAGTTAAGCGATGTACAGAACTTAAGCTACTCTACCTGTACAGTACAGAACTGAACCTGATTCTGTACCTGCTTCTAACCTTGGGAAAGGAAGAGATAAAGTTTTTAATACAGATGCATAACTGGATTAGGTTATTTCCCAAAGATATTTTCATATGAAATCTGGATTTCAGAGTAAAAACAGAGCTGAGTGCTTTTCCTAATTCTAATTGCTTGGCAGCTGTTATCTTCAGTGTTTTACAGGTTTTCTCTAAGAAAGAACCTACCTAAGAATCTAAAATCTAATATTAACTATAGTTTTGTAACACATTTTTCCAGCTTCACCTGTGCATTCAAAACTAAATAGTTTTGTATATTAAAGTTGAGACATCCCTTTTTCTTTTCTTTCCTCCAGTCTAACTGCTATATTTAGGTTAGCTTCACTGACCTTCCAAAAACACTCCCAAAGGATAATGTTGACTTTTGTCTTGTCCTGTGTGAACTGCTTCAGGCTCTTCACGGTAGAACAAGGACTGAGAGGAGAGGCTTTGCTTGATGTCCTGCTCTCAGGAGCAGGATGCATTCACTACCCCTGTCTGTGGTCGTCGAAGGAATCGCTGTCCTGCCAAAGGCTTGGGATAGTGACCAGCTCATCACAGTAACTGTGCCTGGCATGAGTGTGTCCTTAACTGCTCTCTCTCTCCTTGCATGTTCATGACTTGAGACAGTCATGAATTTTCCAGCTGTTTATATAAATTGTAGACTTCCTTAGCTACTCTTGGTCTCATTTCTGGTGCAGTAAGTGTCCATCTCTTTTGGTCTTTCCTGCAAGAAAAGACCAAGTTATACTAAGCTTCTCATTCATGTCTCTGCAACCTCTGTAGTTTTCAGATGCAGTTGATCACTTCTGAGCTTGCATAATTTCCCATCACTGCTATTTTTTTGCCTCCTACTAGATAAGACAGAACTTGGTATTTTTATAGTCTTTTTTTTCATTCCACTCAGAGGAGCAAATATAGTCTTCTGAGCCATGTATCTGTACTGAGGTAACTTTAAAGTGGAATCTTTCCCTCAGAACAATGTCATTGTGGGGTGGTGGTGCCAAACTAGCACATGCAGTCTGTACTCTTGCTTTCTGTGCTGAGAAGTGTATGATGTGCTCTGTCCCTAGCAGTGAAGGCCTTTTCTTCTCCCTGGTGTGCACACAGGCATCTGTTTGCTTTTGAGAACTCAGTGATTAAGTGTTTCTTGGGACTAGATGGAAGGAAAGAAGTCATTGTTTTAAATTAGCTACTTATCTATGGTTTCTGAACTGTCTTAAGTTACTGTTCAGCAGATGTGTGCTCATCTTTCCATCCTCTTGTGTATGGAAAAGGAAAGATGGGCAAGGGGGTTATGTAAGAATTTTCTAAAGATGTTAGCATGTGAAACGATTGTTTTAATGGAATACTGTAGGAGGAAAAAATGTATATTCCTTTCTTCTATAGTGTGAAATGCTCTGTTCAAGACGGTGCCTTGTGACTTCACGTCAACTATATTCAGTTGTGCATGATCCAAATGAAAAGGTAAGTGGTATTGTGCATACTGTTTCTTCTCTATCGTGTTACTGTACCATTGGCTTCTGACTTCTAAAGCTATTTATGTTCTTCCCTGTGCTGTTAACACTGGTAGTTTTCCTAGTTTAATCACTGTACAGTCACTGTTTTCGTGGTATGTCTTTCTGATGTTTTCGAAAGCTAAAAATGTCTCTCTTGCAGTGTTTGATAAGTTTAGGTAGTGCTTTAAGCATGTATCTTAAAAAAATAAATGCTTGTCAGTTTAGGAAAGTTTCATGCTAGTGTCAACAAGTTGTAATTTTAAAACTACTCAATCTTTTGCATGGTATAGGAGCTGTAGGCTTGTTAAAACATCTGGAAGCTATACTAGCCAAAGACTTTCCTAAAACCGATAATGCAGTAGTGGCAGCATGATTGTTAGGTGAGGTAATATGCCTTGTCCAAATCTGATTTCACTTAAGCTCTTTTGAAGGTGAGTGCTTGCTCAGAGCTTGGGTAAAGATGGGGCTTTTAGGGTCCGTGGAGAGAACAGCCACTCCTCAACTTGGAGGTTGCTGTTTTCTTGGAGTTCTTTATGTCGATCACTGGCTTGTGCAGTAGCCATCTCAATTTACATCTTACTAGCCAAGAAAAGCTTTTCTGGTTTGAGATTGTCTTGGCATGGCCTCTGAAGTAATATTCTTGGAAAAAGTGTGGCTTGAGGTACCCTAGTATAAGAGGGCAAGAAAGGCACTTTAGGACCCATATATGCCAGTGTAAGAAAATAACCAGGAGTGAAATGGCATTAGAAGCCAGAGGGGAAAAACAATATATAGTGAGAACTGTGGCTTAATCTGAGTAATTTGTGACTCCTCTAAATGCTTCCTTCTGGCTTAAGATCTTTGCTGGAACTAGCCCTATTCTTTTCTTAAAGGCATGATTTTTAGACAATAAAATGGAGTATTTTACCTCTTTACTGAAAGTAATTTCCTTCTGGGCTGTGGCTAAAGGATGGTTCAAGCTCTTTTCTGCTTTCTTCCTTTGCTACCCCTCCACTGTTTCTGTAATGATCAGACTGTCATACAGAGCTTCCTTAGCTAATTAGTGGAAATGATATATTGAAATATTGCTCAAAAATAGCACATGGTATTTTTCTTACTATACTTCAGGCCTGTTCTTTTTAAGAGCAGGAGCCCAAGTCAGTCTCTTTCTGTTAGTCTTATTGCAGAATTGGAAAATAAAAATAAAATTAGAATCTCTACATATTCATACTAAGTCTTATTCTGCAATTTGTGCTTAGTCATTGAAACTCTTACACAGCAAAGAAGTTAACCAGATTAAATATTTAAAGAGTTAAACTTTTAAATGCTAAGTATTATGGTAAGTCTTTGTGCCTAAAAGCTTCCAAGTGCTTAGAATGCTGAAATTTAGACTTGGAAATGGTTTGAGCGTGTTGAAAGTTATTTGAGTGTATTTTGGACTGGGTCCCCAGCAAAGGAAGCTCTCCAAATAAACCGTTTGCAGCTCAGATAACTGAACTTGCTCAAGAATGAGTTGCTTTGGACTGGGATGTAAGTGTGTATGTGCACTAGGCAGTGGTGTGCCTTCCTCAGCAGAGCTGGCTGGGCTTACATAAGGGCTTGCTACAGCAATAAATTACATGATATATTGCATGATAAGAAATTGCAAATAAGTCCTCTAAGATTTATCACATAATTTATCATTTAATTTCTGAATGCTGTTACCACAGGACTTTGCAATGCCAACGCAGGCCTGACTGAACTAGTAAAATGCTTTTTGGTTAAGGGCACCTTGGGTGCATCCCCTTGGAATCTGTGAGGAAGCTGCAATACAGTGCCCTAGTTTGCTTATACAGTTGCTGCAATGGTGTTTATGGTTCCTTCCTCTGCATTTATTTTTGGCCATAGGGTACCAGTTTTTGTAGTTGCTGTTGCAATACCAATGCCCCCCTGCCAAAAAAAAAAAAAAATCATGGAAAACACATAATGGGGGGAGGGAGAATAGCTACTGAATGTTTTAAGGTATAATATGATAAACCTAAATTGGTTAATCTGTGGGCAGCCCCTGAAGTTCATGAACCTCATGAAGTTCCAGTGGAAGGGCCAGCACCTGGGGAGGAATCACCCCAGGCACCAGGGCAGGCTGGGGCTGGCCTGCTGGAGAGCAGCTCTGCAGAGAAGGGCCTGGCTGTTTGGGCAGACAGGTTAACCATGACCCAGATTTGACTTGCTGTCCAGTTGCACTCTAGCTGCCACTTCATGCTGAGTGGGTAACAGCTACGCAGGGGCAGCCAGCAGTTTGCTGGGTTCCTCGTGTGAGGCTTGGCTATGAAGAGGTCAGTACTGTTCAGCAAGTGTATCTCCACAGAGTGGAAGTTCAGATCTTTCCCCCATGTCCTTGGCAGAGAGAAACTTCTCTTGTGATTTAAATGTCATTTAAGTATGCCAGGATAGATTAATACTGTCCTCTAGATCTGTGCTGGTTGGAGACACTTGACCCACAGGTACCTGTCACCAAATAGAGCTAAAATAATCTGGTTTTAGTTTATATAGGCTTTTCTCCAAAGTAGGGTTGGGAGTTCACCCAGGGACACTGGAGTAGAAGAGTAATGACCTGCATATTGGCAGTGTTGCTATGTGTTTGACAGTGCTTGTGAGTGTCTCTTCCCTGAACTTGGCTCTCTGAACCTCTAGAGTTCTAGTTCCTGCTCTGAGCACAGGGAGGAGATCCAGGGAATGCAGGTGTCAATAGTCAACACCTTTGTTTTTGGAACCTTGGCACATGGCAGTTAGATTGCCATAGCATATTGTTTTTACTATATCACTACTAAATCAGCAGGACATTTTAGCAGGTAATCTGAGTCAACGAATGTTTTAATGAAAATGCCTCTTTCTGAAGGGAAAGAATATGGTTTGTTCATACTTCAAGGTACTTGCTGTTCTTTTCCCGCCAGACTTTTGAAAAGCTGCTCGTTGCCAACAGAGGGGAGATTGCATGCAGAGTAAGTATATAATCTTATGAGTTTTTTGTTCTTATCCTGTGGATAACTTAAATATTGATAATTGTCACTTCTCATATGGCAGGTCATCAAAACATGCAAGAAGATGGGGATTAAAACAGTTGCCATACACAGTGATGTCGATGCCAATGCTGTAAGTACAGCTAGCTTATTTGAATGCAAATGATAGATGGGACTTGGTAGTTCAATAAGACTTAACTGTTATGCAGGTTTGTTTACCATAATGATGATTTTGAGGTGTTTTTGTTTATGCCCTTTTCTGTGAAGGGAGAAGAGATGCCATAGGGGGAGTATTAGTGAAATACATAGAGTGTTTTTTCTGTGAACACTTCTGTATTTAGCCCATAGAAAAATATTGTTGCTTCCTTTTTCTGGATTAAACCAGACAATAGAGATGTAATTGAGAGGTATATTGCTCTGTACACCAAATAAATGGCAGTGAACCTGTATTTTTTGGCACAAGCAGTAAAGCATTCCATGCTTTCATATAGATATGAAGAAAATAGATTTCCTACTGGGTTTGCAGGCCTATAAACTGGTTAACAGTTATAGTTGGCAGTATAGTATTGCTTGCCTTCCTTTGGTTTTTGTTCTAAGACTGGGTTCTGGAAGCTGGAGAAGTTGGCTGAAGGCCCTCCAGTGCCTGCACCACATAATCCTACCATGTGTGCTGAGCAGGCCTGTTGGAGGAGTTCCCTTTCCCAAAGATAACTGGGATGGCTGGAGGAGGATGTAAAATAGCTCTCTGGACAAGAACCTAACACAGGTCCAGCCCTACTTTATCAGTTTCAGATCTTAAGTCTCTTCTCCAATTTGTTTTAAAAATAGTTGAAATCAATAATTGTAGCAAGAATAGGAAGGCAATTTGTGCTTTCTTTGACCAACATAATAGGAAGTATAGTCATGCTTGCACATGCTCTGACTAGAGAACATCTTAATCCTTGCATGTAGCAGTTCCTACAAGGAAAAAGATTGGGGGTACCCCTGCAGCCTGAGAGAGGTTGCTGGAAGACAGCAAGACAGCTGAAAACCTGTGCTCTTTACTGAAAGAGGTCCCTCAGATAAGCTGAGGAGGGGGAAAATGTATGTTTTATATATGGTGGGACTTGTGAATACAGGTGTTGAGGTGTTCAGCACTTGAAAAACTGAAAAGCATGATTCCTGGAATCTGGAAGTTTGAGAACCTAGTATTCTTAGAGTTAAATGATAGCTGAGAGCTTCAGAAGTGTAATTTTGGACTTTGGCAGTGCCAAATACATAATAATGTGTCCTTTTGTGGTTCTACCTGACCTGCTCAGGTCATATAAATAGGATAGAGCAAGGGATTGAAATTTTTCTGAGACAAAGGGGCCAAATGCTCTACTAAATTCCTCTGCCAAATGATTCTTTCTGAGGTGAATGAAGGGTGTGCTTGGTCTGGATTTCAGCTGGTAGCCCCAAGTGGGAGAGAATAGTGGTTTGTGAGTGCTCAGTGGACTGTGAAATGAGTGCCTAGCAGATGGATGTCGGACATCGGGATAAACTCCGGTTCTCTTGGAAGCCAAGGGTTAAGTGGATGTGAATACAAACTATTCTGTATGATGTGTCATCCCTCTAGTGAAACTCTGAAACATGCTAATGGGCATTTGTATTCCCTGTGTGTATCGTATCTGTTGGGATAAATGTGTGTTTAGCAGCACTATGTAGCCCTCTTCACTGTCATGAAATCATTTTGAAAATAAACCAAAATGCTGTTAAATAGTCTTTCACAAGTCCCTAATGAATGTAAATGAATGACTGGGCTTTCCAGTAGATCTACATGGCTTTATTGTAGGGATGCTCCTGTGAACTACAGAATATAGAAAATCTGGAAGTAGGAAGTAAAAAAGACAAGATGAGGAACATAGGGAAAGCATTATAGAAAATTAAACTCCTGATCTTAGGAAGGGAATACATGATGAAGACTGAAAATGAGCTTCAATCTGCAATGTTGTCTTAGCTTTAACATCTGTGTCCCTTTAGACACTTTCTTAAAGAGCAGTAGTAAACCTTGGTGTGCAACCTGATAATCAGCTGTGTGCATGAAGGAATTTGAGGTATTTAAAGGAAAATGAAAGCAGGTTATGTAAAATACTGCTCTGTGTACTTAAAATATGGTGGTTGTACTACAGCAACATCTATTTGATTAAACAAAAAAAATCTAGTTTGTGCTAACCACATCCTTTAATTGCTTCCTTGGTGTTTGCTTTGGGAAATAGTTGATTAGTATCTCTGACTGAATAGCTATAGCTGTTTGATGTGTGAGTAGCCTGACTTCTGGAGTGATGCTTGTGACTGCCAGCTCAGATCTGGATAGATCAGTCCAGAGGCCAAAATTCTTTGAGGATGTTGTGACAAAAATGCTTCTGCCCATGTACTTTTCAGGTTCCAGAAGGTATGTTTTTAGTTACAACAGTGGTAGAAAGATGTCAAATCTTTTGCATCAGCTCAAGTTTGATTTCAATCTACCAGCTGAGCCTCTGCCTCCACATGGGAAAAGTGTAGTTAGGAGAGACTTGTTCACTTAGCAATGGGCTGCAGCAGAAGTTGGGAGCTTCCTTTGATTTCAAATGTGATGGGATTAAGCAGGACTTCTGTTCTTTGAGACTTAGATTGTGAAGATAGGGAACATCATGGGAGGCTAATCTGGTGCTGGTCATTGGACCAGAGGCAGGAATAAATGTCAAGGTATGGTGTTGGAATGGTTGTCTATCCCAAAGCTAGTTCACAGAATGGTTGAGGTTGGAAGGGACGTCTAGAGATCATCTAGTCCAACTCACCTGCTCAAACAGGGACACCTAGAGTGTGTAGTATAGGGGTAGCATCCAGGTGAGCTTTGAAGATCTCCAGAGAAGCTCAGTGTTTACTAAAAGCATTAGGACCTGGGTTCAAGTGATTAGAAAAGTTGGGATAGTTTACAAAACATCTTTTATATCCAGGTACTTACAAGAGGATTATTTGGAAAGTGTAAATTTTCTATTTATAACCTAGATTCTGACTTAAGTAATACAGAGTTATTATGCCTGTAGCTACTTGCTAAAAATTGGATAGCCTGATCTTGATACCATCTGATTTTTGCAGATAATCTAAAGAGGTATTTCTACAAGCCAGAAGGCTTTCCTTTGTCCTACTGGTTGAAAACAAATGAAATTGAACTGAGTTTCTTTTGTGTTTCAGTGTACAGGAAGAAATAAACAGTGTCTAGCAATTCAGACACTTCCTTTGGCATGAAGATAAAATTGCTTAAATAATGGATTTGATACTGAGCATAGCTAAGAAATATTTGCTATAAAATAGCTTGTCTCTGTGGAACATAAGATATAAGAGGCTTAATGTTAGAAGTTGGAGCACTAACTGCACTATTTTTATCAAAGCAAATAGTGTGAATTAAGAGGCCTACTGGTACTGTGACTTTTTCCACTGAATAATAGTAGCTTCCAATATATTTCCCATCCATTGACATATGACTAAATGACCTCAGCTGGGATAACTACTGTTTTTGGTGGTGCTGTAATACTGTCTTAAATACCTTGGTTTTTGAGCCTTGAATATACTTTGTTTCCTCATGTAGAGGGCCATGCAGGTAGTAGCTTAAAAGACATAAATTGTGGTTTATGTGTAAGATATTTCTTGGAATCCAAGTTATAATCCAAGTGTTACTGATTAATCAGTATAGAATCTCTAGCCAAGTAGCACCTTAACCTATTAGATTTTTGGATCCCAGTCCGAAGTCCAATGTGGGAACAGATCACTGAAGCAGTTGTGTTCTGTTTTGGTGCACCAATCTGTCTGCACAAGTTAAGGAAGACAGAAAGCCTATGTTCTAGCAAGTGGATAAACATGCTTGAACAAACATGTAAGGCTCACTAGTAAATAATCTTACCCTAGAGATTTTGGGAAAAACTCTTTATTGCTGTTGTCTTTTTTGTAATGTTAATGTTTCCAAAAAGTTGGAAAATTCTCTAACACCAATGTAGTACTAAGAAACAGACATTTATGTCTTGAAACCTTTAGAGTTTAGTGTTGAATAGGAGTTGGAATAGCTGGAGTAAATGTAAACACTTAGTGAAATTACTGTTTTTCTCCTTTCCCTTTCTATGGAATTCAATGACAGATGGCTTGAGTAAGCTGATATTAGAACAATGCTTATTTTGCCATATGTGTACAAGTGAAAGGTAACAAATACAGCTTTTTAAAGAAATGATAATTAACTGTCATGAGCTGGGAGCAGCAGCAGGAGCTGTTATATATTGAGAGCATGGAAAAAGTTGACTGTTGTGATGGGAACTGAATAAAGCTTATCTGAAAAGGGGAGATAAAAACAACAAAATATTGCTTGGTATATTTTTTTAAAAAGGCTAAAGATCTGAAAGATTTTTGTGGATAAAAATTAAGACGGTAGGAAGGGACCATTACTAGTTAAAGGTAGGTGAATTGAAGGATTTGGGGATGTTTGTGCAGTAATGCAAAGTTGAGTGGCTGAAAAATTATTTATGTAATGGAAGCAAAACTCCTGCTTTAACAAGTGTCCAGAAACAGGATCAGTGGGGTGGGTGAAAAGTTTGACAAAATGGCTGCTGTGAAGCCCTGGTCATTAAAATTGGTCATGAGTTCAGAAAAGTAGGTCATAATGGATGCTTTTTTAGAGTCTTTAAACTCATGCCTAGCATCTTTTATTGAATCAGCTATTTCAGAGAGCCTCAGAAAAGAATTGTTGTAAGGTAGTAAAAATGCTGCTTTTCATTTAGAGTTCAAAATGCAAAATGCTTCCCACTCAGATAGGTAAAGTGGGAAAGAATCATCAAAATTTGGAAATATTGCTTTAAAACATCTGGCAGAATTGTTTTGAGGCTGAGCAAACAAGCAAAGTTTCAGCTGAAAAAGAGTAATCATATGTACTTTTTCCCCCTGAACTGATTGGAACAGAAGGTTAAGATGAAAGAGCCTCCTCAACCAGAAGTATAACACTGTTGGTGCAAACATTGTCGAGGAAAGCTAGAGAACTATTGTAATGCCTAATGTAATCAGCTAAAAGTATGATAAATGAAGAACAGGCTTTCACTAATTGGATCGGAACAAAAGAAGGTATAGCATAAAGCAGTGAATGAGATATAATT